TAACCCAATTAAAAACAGGTTGGGCCAAAACTACAAGTGAGGCATCCTCCTCCTGACCACGGACGATCGCTCAAGCGGGTCTCAGGCTCCCTTCCGCGCTGCAGCCGCGGCTTTCTGGGGCCGCGCCAAGTGACTCCTGCCTTGGCCGTGCCAAAGGCAGGAACGGCCTTTCAACCACCCACCCAACCGTGGCAAGGGGGAGAAAAGAGGAAGGGAGAGGAGCGAGCAGGGATAATTCCCTGTTGGACTCCGCTCCGTGAGCAGGCAGTGCTCCACGCCAGAGCCGGCTGCCAGAGTCCCCCCCATTAGCCACGCTCAGTGGCTCAAGACGGGCTTGTGCTGCCCCAATTATCCCTCCCCGCCGGGCACACGCTCAGGTTTGTTTTCAATGCCACCAGCCTGTCCGTCAAGCAGTTACTCCTTGGGGACCGGGCTGTATTGCCGGGCTGTGCACGTACGGAGACGGGAGCTGGAAGACTGCAGAGAGCAAGCCAGGGACTCAGGTGGTCACGGCTCTGCTCGGTGCCTCAGTTTCCCCTGGGGAGTTTTGCAGATGATGCTGAGCTTTCGCATCTGCTTTGAAACAAGAGCAGCTGGTTCAGACTCGATAGACCTGGCAGCCAAAGCCCGCACTGTGAAAGTCCAGAGAGATGCTGGCGCAGGACCAGCTGTGAGATGTTTTGCTGAGTGCTCTCCCAGCCACCGCAAGGGCTGGGGCTCTTTATTTAAAGTTTATTCAATGCCCTTGTGCAGCCTCTTCAACCAACACAGACCTTTTGCACCCAGGACATCGTTTGGCAGGGACTTCGGCAGCTCAGGTCCTGCTGCATGAGGAACCATCTCCTTTGGCCATGGCTCTTACCAGCCTCCTCCAAGCACCTCTGGATTTGCTCTCCTCCGAGCAACCCTTTGCTATGAGGCTGCTCCTTCCAGCTCAGCACTATTATTTATAGCCCCTGGGCTAATCTTTATCAACTACCCTTTGTATTGCTGAAGCGAGCCCACAAAGGTGGCAGCTAGGGCTGCTCGGGTAACCTTAACACACCTTCGGCTTCCCTAGGTGCTTGTTCGAGCACCAGTGCTAACAAGCCTGGGAAGATGCCCTGAAGAAGACTCATGCCCCTGTGGGCAAAGGCCACTTGTTAACACCTCACCTTGATGCTGGGTGACCTGGGCAGGTTGTTTTTTTTTCCCCATGCCTTGATTTTTCCCACCTGGAGAGGACTCTGGATGCTTCGGGCCGCCCCAGGGCCATGTGCCCCATCCCGGGCTGGGCACAGCTCAGCCACGTCCCTCCCTGACCCCTGTGCTGGCAGAGCAGTGGAAGGAAGGCTCTCCCCGCCACCACGGCTTCCCTGCCTCCTCCCTCACCCTGATTTCCTGACCCTAATGAAGCATTAATATTCAGTGAACCTGCAGCATCTATTCCTGTCCCCAGTGACCTGGTTTCCAGGCTGATGGATGGTGTGCGCCAGGCCAGCCACGCTGCCTGGGCCATTAAGCATCGCGCAAATAAATCATCATCGAGCCAGGCGGACCCTTGCAAGGCTGGGGACATGAGGAGCAAGTGGAATGTCCCCAGCAGAAGCTGGGCTGCTTTGGACACCAAACCTGAGCCCCAAGCTGCCCCAGGGCAGAAGCAGCCCCCAGGGACCAGGCAGCGTGAGGAGGGATTAGGAGGCAGAGGCACAAGACAGGAGCTCTTTGGAGAAGCTTCTTCTGTGGGGCTCCTCAAGGTCACACCAGCCTGACGGAGACACGGGCTCAGGGTCTAGCCAGGTGAGAAGCAGGCTCGAGCCCTGCCTATCCAGCCTGGGCCCCTTGCAACAGACATTATTATTACTATTATTAATGATTATTATTGCTAACACTGATATTACTGGGGTTACAGAGCAGCAGCCAACCTGTCGAACCATCGCCAGCCAAGCTGAGTCATCCCAGCTTCGCACCTGGAGACAGGACAACTATTCTGCATTACAGAGTTCAGAGCAAGGACTGGAAATCGGTGCCCTTGCCCGGACAGGAGCAGAAGCTGTGATTTCAGCCCCAGAGGGAGCAGAAAAGGTGATCCAGAGCAGCAGGAGCGAGCAGAGATGAGGCACAGCAAACCCACAGCTTTGTCTCTGCCACTGGCTGGGGGGGGGGGGCAAAGCAACGAGACCTTCTGCGCTTCGGTTTCATCATCTGTGACAGCAGCACTGCAATGCTGGCCTCTGTACAGCATGCTAAGGTCTCCAAAAGACCAGTGCAGGATAACCTCTAATCTCTCCAAAGGTAGGATCCTGCCCCAGAAAGGCAAACCCTGCCTCCAGCCAACCAACCAGTCAACCTACCATCCAGTCAACCAGCCTACCAATCAATCATCCAACCATCCAGCCAACCATCCAACCATCCAACTGTCTAACCAACCATCCAACCAACCAACCAACCAACCAATCATCCAACTAACCACCCATCCCTCCCTCCACCCATCTCTACATGCCCTCTCTATGTCCATCCACCTATCCGACATCCCTGTATGCCCTCGCCATATCAATTCATCCATCCACCCACTCGACCATCAATACTCAGGAGTGATCTGGGATGTGCCTCTCTGGGATGAGGGACAGACAGGACACAGACGGGCCGACTCGGAGCTGCCTCACTTACATTTGGCGCCCATGCTGGTCCTCCCTGGTGAGCACGCCTTCCTTCTCCATAAGCATTTGCCGAAAGGTTCCCACTTTCTGCCGGATCTCCTCTTCGGAGTACCTGGATGTGCAAAGATGCAGTCAGAGCTGCTGTGGCCATAGTGTGGGCTCCCCAGGGACCTGATGAGGAACCTCCATACCTTCGGGAGTGACATGTGGCCCGAGGGGCCTGTCAGAAGGAGAGGTGACATGGTAACAGTCATGAGGGCCTGGAGGAGAGCAGATCCCTCCACTTGGTCCCCTGCCACCACCCTCCATGCCCTCCTCTCTCCTGCCTGTCACTCCCAGCAGTGCTTGGCAGAGGAAAGGATATTAGGAAAGGGTAAAAAAAGAAGATGACCATAAAGTTGCCATTCCTCCACACTGCCCCTGGTTTTGGGGCACATCCCTGCCAAGCCCCCCCAGCAGTGCCAGCATTGCAGCCGGGGATGCCAGGGTTCATGCCTGGCACCTCCATCCCATCGTCAGCCTCTCTCGCTTGTCCCCGCGCTGCGCCAGGGCCCTGGCAGCCGAGCCAGCTCTGCGCTAACGCCGAGCGCTGACTCAGGCCACTGCAGGGTTATTAACGAGAGACACTAATCACTTTGTCCCTGGCATCTGAGAACAGCCGCGGCAAACCACGGCGCTTCAGCTGTCCCCGAGGTGTCCCCTGGGAGGGATGGGTGACAGCCCTGGGCAGGCAGTGCTGTGCCGCATCCTGCAACTGCACAAGGGCACCCGAGCATCCCTCTCAACCAAAAACATCCCAACGGAGGGATGTGGTGAAAGGATCCGTGGTGCTTTCGGCACTGTCCCTGGGGACAGGGCAAAGGGAGAGGCACCCCATGTCACCACCACGCTGCCACTCCTGGGGGGAAGAGGTTGGGCTCTGTGTGCATTCCTGTCCTCACCCACACGACTACAGGGGCTGCTCGCAGCCCATCCTTGCTGTCATGTCCCATCAGCATCGCAGCTAACGAGCCCAGAAAACTGGGTGTCACAGCCTGGCCGAGCCCTGCGGAACCCAAGGCTGGCACCTTGCAGAGCCCGTGCTGGGGACGTGATGCCTCTCGCAGTGCTGCGGGTGCCCCTGGGTGCCCTGGGGGCAGAGGGGCACACAGCAGCACCCACATCCCCTGCAGTGCCCATGAAGATGAATGGCGAGGAGAGAGGAATTAATATTAACGAGCTCATTTGCACCAAAAGGTTTCATTAATTCCCAGCTGGCCAGGACCCCGCGCAGAAGGAGGGCTGCTAACTGGGTACACAGGCAGCCTGGCTGCTTCCCCTCGCCTTGCACCCTGTCTGGGCATGGGGGGGTCCCAAAAACAGGGCAGCACCCCCAAATGCTGCTCTGCACCGTACCCTGGCTGGCAGTGCAGCCCGCTGGGCAGAGCGTGGCCACCCCGCAAGGTCAGAGCTGCCAGCTCCGGCCAGCCCCTGGCATCCCCGGCCAGTGGCAGCAGGAAGATGTCCGCCCAAGAAGATGAGCGTTTGCTGCAGCACATTACGGACGTGGCTGATGCTCTCGGAGAGGGGACGCAAGGCCAAACAGGAGGTGACAGATGGGCCACCGCGGCTGGGCTGTTAGCAAATCTGCGGGGGGCAAGGCCGAGGCGAGGAACCCCCCCTGCACCCAGCGATCCTGTGATGGAGGCAGGAGCGCCCCACCAGCCTCCTGCCAGCCCCAGCGCTGCTTACAACCCTGTGGGAGGGAGGTTGCTTTTGCATTTAACACGTCAAATGGGTTTGGGAAGGAAAGAAAAATTGCTGACACTTCTTTTCCGGAGAAGAAATCCAGCCTGCAGGCAGGGAATAACGGCGCAGGCAGCCTGGAGCGAGCGGCAGGCGGGGACCGGGCAAGGAAAGCCATCCACGTTTAAGGAAACAAGGGAGCACTTAAATCCCCGCAAAACCTCCTTTGCCATCCCACCCATCATCCCAGGGGTTTGCCCTTGGCGATAACCCCTCCGAGGCCGTGGCCAGGATGCAGCCCCTGGCCCAGGCACAAACCTCAGGGGTGCAAAGTGTTCCCCGTGTAACCCCCCTGGAGAGCCCCTGTGCGACGGGGAGGAGCAGGCAGAGGATTAAGCAGGTTGACCAAGATTATTACTGTAATTATATTATCATTTTGGTGTATCACCGTCATCACCGTTATTAATAGCCTTAATAACAGCAAAGGCAATTACAGCAATCCCAACAATACCGGTTGCAATATTGCTATTACCCCTCGCAGTAATGATACTACCAGGAGTAAGATCCCTAGTAGGGCACAGGAACCTGACAGGAGGCTCTGGGCTCCCCAAGGCGCCAGGTCAGCCTTATTTATTTCCATAACGACGAATTAGACACAATCATTATTCCAGTCTGTGTGAGACAATTTAATTCTAGGTCACGCTCGCGCTCTTAATGAAAGCCCTGGCGAAGCCTTCCCTCAATCCATTTTCCTTCTCCCCAGCTGATACCAGTCCCCATCTACCCACGTGCGCTGAAGAATTTGCTCCATCCCACAGGTTTTAGCGAGCTGTCAGGGGGATCAGGGTGTTCGGCTGGGG